CCTTCAGGCGAAATAAGTGTAGGCGGTATGATTACTCAAATCGCAAATCACTTTGGCCATGGTGCTCTCTTGAGAGAGGAACCCACTGTTACCGGTAAGACGAAAATAGATCTTGCCACACTGACGGCCCAAGGTATGATTCGTGTCTTTGATAATTACTATTCCTTGGTAAGCCGAAACAGTCATCTCCTTGCTTTACCTGCCCCTGACTTTATTAGTATTCAAAATGTGAATAACTGGCTATATGAGAGCCCTCTGCAGGATGAAGAAGACCAATTTTATGATGGTACAGGTGCAAAATTCTTTGAGGATGAAGGCGATCAGGTGGAAGAAGCGCCTATACCGCCTACTCGATTTTCACCCCATCAGGAATCAGGCCCAGGCTCGTGGAGCTTATCGAAAAAGGAATGGGACTGGATGGAGAATGAGATGTGCCATCTCCGAAGTGAGCAAACGAGGCAAGGCGAGGAGCAGACAAGACAAGGGAACGAGCAAATCCGACAGGGCAGGTTGATCAGTGAAATGCAGGAATGGATGCGGCAGATGATGCTGCGGGACCAACCTCCTCCATCATGATGAACTCTGTGAGTCCTCTGCTACTTGTGTTTCAACAGTGGGGACACTGTTGAATTCAAGTGTGGGGGTATTTTATTGTGTGTTTTGTTTTTTGTTGTTTTCTTTCGCTGTTATTTATATTTCGCTGTTATTTATATTTCTGTGTTAGTTTGAATTCTTTCTCTGTTATTTATATTTCTGTGTTAGTTTGGAAAGCATGATCGGAATACCCGCAGTGAAAACCCCCGATGTTGAACTATTAAAATAAGAACTGTTTGGTTGAACTGTTTTCGCGTGAGGTAGGTGATGAGAAAGTATAGAGAATGCTCAGAAAAAGTTTTGTGAGGAGGAAATCGGAATAATCTTGAGAAGTAAGTAAAACACAAACACCTTAGTCTCCCGAATAGGAACGAGTTTGACGTGTAGATTTGTGCCATAGTGCTTTAATCTGAGAAGTACCCCGAGTAGTTTTTCTTGACAGGCGGGCTTAATCAATAAGAATCGTATGTGCGAGGTTGATCGAAAAGTATATGAAAAAAAAAAAGCACAGAGAAAAAGGGGCAAATTGGACGACCGGTCCTTCTAAGTTGGGTAACCCTCACCCGGTTATTCAGCCTAACGGCGGTCGAACCTGAGAGCCATCCAAAACAAAAAAATTAGTAATAATTGTGCCAAAAAAAAAGAAGAAGAAAATATAATACTTGATCATCTTGTACATGCGAGGAAAAATCATAACTGCCCTTATAGTACTGTTCGAATGAAAGGGAGGAAAATCGAAAAAGAAGACTTAAGTACAAAGCATAGTCGGAGAGGTTACCAATTGGGAGATTGAGGGCGGTGGTTTTGCCACGGTTTAGTGTTTATGTGTTACCTATTTTGACAGAGTAAGCTGAGACTACTCCTAATGGGACTTGGACTGAGAATTTCACGTATGAGTATCATTACCATAACTCACAGTTCTATGGGCGTTTATGTGAAAAGATTTATAAGGTTCGATTTGATGAGCTTTTTGCTCGAGGTCAAGCAAAAGTTCAAGTTCGGGGGAGTTTGATCGGGGGATTTTAGTTGTGTTTTCCAAACTATGTTTGTCGTTGGTTTCGCATTGTTTTATCTCTTTTTCTAGTCTTTGGTTTGTTTTGTCATAGTTATTTGCAGTGTTTTCGCATGAGTCTTAGTTTAATAACTTTATTGCTTTTGCCGCCGATGCGTTTGATTTGGTTTCTTTTAGTGTATTTTTGGCAGGAATCAGTGGCCGGACATCCGCACTGTTTCGAAGACAAAGAAATGCCGAAAAAGCACAAGTCAGAGGCATGACACGGGTGCCCGTGTCACACAACACGGCCCGTGTCATGAGGGATACGGCCAGGAGGACACGGGTGAAAAGGAGAAAAGAAGAGTTGGAAACAGAAGAGCAACACGGGTGCCCGTGTCACACAACACGGCCCGTGTTGCAGCCCCTGATGCTTTTTTCTCAGTTTCGAGTTACAGCAGCCTGACACGGCCACCCGTGTCACACAACACGGCCCGTGTCAGGGCCACTGATGAGGAAAATGCTGTTTTTATTATTTTTCACTATTGAAGCCATTTTGAAGGGCATTTTAGACATTTTATCATGTAATTTGAATTGAGTTATATTAAGCCTTATTTTGGAAAGAAAGGAGGCACGTTTTGATTAGGATTGAGAGGAGAGAACTGAAGCCGGAGAATTCAGAAGAACAAAGGATCGATCAAGAGCGGAAGCAATTGATGATCCAAGTCCCCCAATTTCAATTGTAATGATCTTCTCCTTTTTAATTCTAATTACTTTTATGTTGACCAAGAACATGAGTAGCTAAACCCCAAGTTGTTAGGGGGTGGTCCTCAATGCGATGTAATGACATGTATTTAATTATTCTACGAGACTTATGTTTTTCCCTTAATATATTTGATTTTGCATTAACCTTATTCGTATTCCTATTGGAAAGTAGAATTCGAATAGTGCTTAGGCTTAGTCTGGAAAGTCAACCTAACACTTTTGCAAAATAGTATCACGGTCGATATTGCTTAGGAATGAGGATATCCCGTATCACGTATTTTATGGTCGGAGTTATTGCTTGATGTTTTTCAGGGACACTGAGGAATTAGTGAACAGGAAAGTCATCAAAGGGTTGCCATTAAGGAATTAAGGCAACTAAAGTGGCCAACTGATAGATTAAGGTTAATAACAAGTAAAGTAGAATAATCATATAGAATCTGCACTCGTATTGTCTCCACTCCCCTAACACTGTTCTTAGATTAATTAATTCAGTCCGTCTTTACTGTGAGATTACTCTGCTACCAAACAAACCACTAGACCTTTTGTTCAATTGCATTCTAAAAATTCTGTTAATTACTACGCAGTCCTCGAGATCGATACTTGGGATATTTCCCTTATTACTACGATTGGTAAAAATAGTACACTTGCTATTTTCCCGATCATCTTTGAGGTATTTGTGTAATATCAAACCTAACATTTGCTATGCAGTTGGAATGATGAGTATATTTATGAATAAACCGAAGTGATCTCATTACCAAGCTGCTGCCAGAATTTTGAGGTATATTAAGGGGACTTTGAAGTATGAAGTTTTGTTCTCTTATGGAGAAAAGGGTAATTTAGAGCTAATGTGTTACTCAAACTCTGATTGGTGTGGAAATTGAGTTGATAGAAAAAGTACTTCTGGATATTTATTTAAGTATCTGGGAGGTCCTATTCTTGGTGTTCTAAGAAGCAACCAGTTGTTGCTTTGTCAACTTGTGAAGCTGAATACATTGCAGGTGTTGTGGTTGCATGTCAAGCTGTTTGACTTATAAATTTACCGTAGGATTTGAAGATCAAGCTAAACAAGCCTCCAAAGCTGATGATTGATTACAAGTCTGTAATCAATCTTGCCAAGAACTCAGTGCTGCATCGGAGAAGCAAGCATATTGAGACAAAATATCACTTCCTGAGAAGTCAAGTCTAGAATGGAGTGCTAGAAGTCATGCACTATAGCACCCAGAAGCAACTAGCAGATGTTCTGACGAAGGTGATCAAGACTGATCAATTTCTCCACTTGAAGGATGAAATTGGTGTTTTTAGTTTTGATTAGTTAAATCCTGAATTAAGGAATGATGTTGAAGGGTAATTCAGTATTGTAGTATGCTGTCTACGTGACACTTTTGTTTGTGTATATATACTAGTGTAGTTGCCAATAGTTGTACACACACACACATTAAACATCAAGTTGGCGCATAACCAATGTAGTGGAGTAACCATTTTGTAACTGTTTTTGTAAGAATTGTGAAAATTTATTATTCTCTTCTCTCTTTTCTTCCATCTTCGTCTTCTTCATCTTGTGCATCAAAAAATACATTTTCAATATAAACACTTATCCTCAATTTTGTATTTTTACTAATTATTTGTCTTAATAGAATCAGTTTATATTTATAAAATAAAAAATAAAAAATAAAATAAATCCTTAGAATGTGTCATAACTCTGATAGATCTTGTCACTCATCATGACATTCAGAGCTTGCATGCAATCCATCTCAAACATTACCCTGTGTTGTGCTTCCCAAACCATTTGATAACTTTTATATAGCTTATAGTTCTGAAGCCTTTCAACAGGACCACCAGCCTAACATGTATACAAATTAAAAAAAAATTTAATAATAAAACTTTTTAAAATAAATTAAAAATCAAAATTTGCTGAGTACGAATTTGACAGTAAAAAAATTTGTAGTAATATGCTACTATCTCCGTTTTTATTATAAAATCGCTTTGAGAAAAAACATTGTACTATAATATCAATGAATTATTAATATTATTTTTTCTATTATATTTTTAAATATTTATTATTTTTTTTCTTTTTAATTATATAAATTTGTCTTTCTAATACCATTAATAAAAGATAATTTAAATTTTTTTTTATAATTTCTCTTTTTTATACTACAATTATTATATTTTTTAATATATATGAAAAATAAAAAACGACTTATAATAAAACAGGGAGGTAATATATTTACAATTTTTCAAATTTGACTGTATATTAATATGTGTGCCACTTGCATAGACTCTTATCCAAGGTAAGAGACAAATACAAAGGTTTCTTATTCTTCACATAAATAAGTAGTGAACATTAGCTAGCGAGTCAAAGAAAGTTTCATTATGATGCGACTTATGTAACAATAACACCATAATCGTAATTTCGTCCACTCATTTCATATCATACCCGCCTCATATATGTCAATAATAATTTTGAAATATCATTAAATAATAATACAACTCACAGAATCTGAATTCGGGAAACTCTCTTTAATATTAAGATCCTTTTTCAGGTACGTCAATGATTTCATATTAAGAAACTGTATACTTTTTTCCTTTTGTTTCTATTTTCTTGCTTTCATATGCTTTGTAATGGTGAAAGAATCAATGAAACAGACGAAAGATGTCTTCCATAGTAAAAGGTATAATTCTGAGGACAACACCGGATAATAGGCTTTTCAATGGAAGAAGAAGCACAAGGTTGCAGTGGCAGGAGTTACAGTTACGGCTTAGATCACCATGGAAAACCAGAAAAACAACGTATCAGACTTCAATTCGAAGCCAAGCTATTGTTACCCCAACAACACCACCTACCACCAAAAAGGTACATTCATTTATCTTCTGGAACTTTTTCTTTCTTTAACTTCCTAAGTAACAAGATTTATCATTACAAACTGTGAAAAGGTCATGTTTTAATTCGTAGAAATATGTAATTATTTGCCGTAGAAATTCATCTTACTTTAATCTTTGGATCAAAACTAAATAATTGTTGATTTAAGAAGCACTATTAGATAAACAAGAAGTTATTTACTCTACGTAATTATAGGAATATTCGTGTCTATTTGGGATTGTGGAAACATTGATCATGAGATTTTCGTGAAAGCATTGAATCTGTAACATTGAGATATCGACAAAACACCTCAATTATAGACTGTAGATTGTCTCTGGGCCACAAACTGGAGGCTGATATCTTGCACTCCTACTACCATTGAATATGACACTCCTACAAATTTTTAAAATGTCAATAATAACTCATAATTTACGTCTATAAATTTATACTATTTATTTTAAGAATTACTTTTGAAAAGTCATTTAAAAACAAAAATACTCACTAATTATAAGTGAATATCTAATAAAGACAAAAAATATTCCATAATTATAAGTAATTGTTCGGTAAAAATATACCTTTTCCGAATTCAAAACATCAGAAAAAAAATACATTTTTCTTGCACGAAAATATAAGAAAAAAATTTTTAACTTTCTATCTTTTTCAAAATAAAATTAAATATAAATTGCATTTGATTTATTTTCTTTCATATTCTGTATAACTAACAACCAACTATAACTATTTTTACATCTTTCAAAACAATTTATTTCATCAAAATTTTAGTCAAATTATTATGTTTTTGTTTTTCTTTGATAAATATGATTTTTATTTGTTCTCTTATATTTTAAAATGGAAGAAATATAATATTAAAAAATAAAAATTTCATTTTATACCAGATTTATATTGTGATATATAAATCCGGTATGCATTTATATCATAAATATATTTAAGTTCAAGGCAAATTTTGTTTATATCGAATATATGTAAAGATTCAGTAAAACTAGTTTTTTTCTCCATCTCCATAAATCTAGGTGTTATGTTATGCTATATAATGATATTTTACTTTCAATAATACCAAATTAAATTACACAACAACAAATAATGTCATAAAAGCAACAAATAAAGTTCATAACCAATGACAAATAATCATAAAAAAATCTAAATTAGTCTACCACGAGTAATGTGTGTTATTTGCAATGGCAAAACATAAACCTCACCATTTGAATTTATCAAACCAATAACGTTATCAAAAAAAAGAGCTACCATTTATATTGCTATCAGTCATTCATACCAGGTGGCGGAGGAGTGTCATTTGAATGTCCTCCAACAAACGAAGGTCCAACAACATCTATTGGCTTAACCGATTTAGCCAAGAAGGATGAGGTCACTCTAAGTTATTATCTAGACATTATTTTAGAAAAGACACAACCAATATGTTTTGTATAATCGCATTGGCACTGTTCACCATGTTAACACAAAACCATCCATCAACGTTAAATGGTACAACCGAGAGTGGTCTAGGTATGCCCTAGAAATAGCCAAATTGGCAGAGACATCTTAGGTAAATTAGTAGTATCAATACTCTCAAATCACAGATAACCTAAAAATAGTGCAGTGATATCGAACTCCCGAAGCAGTATATGGTCAGTGTACGGTGTCCACATAACATCATTTAAGGCTAAAGCGTGGATCCTTCGCTTGGCTCCTGAAGTCCACTTGGATGAGAATGCTTGAAGCCTCGTCTCATGGCCCGTGGAGAGCCATCTATGATAGAACCCTGATCACGTATGTCACAAATAGGCGGGAAATGCTCGTATATTCAACATTGTAGTAAACTTAACATATTAAACATGCAATTTAAACATTATAAATATTTGAAAATAAAAGATAATATTTATATATCTGAAATAGGCTCATATAACCATCAAGTTGTCTCGTCTTAAATTGAGTCGAATCTACAATGGCCTGATGAATTAGAATCACAACAACACAATCTTATGCCCAACTATGAAATACAAGGTCAGTGAACATAGTTATGTTCTCATATCAATGCAGACATGCAACTTATCTGCCAAAATAATGCATCCAATAAGATGCAACATGTAAACCCTAGTGACATCTTGGTACATAAAATGCTCCACCAATGACACATAAGTCTCTTGGAGGCAAGAGAGTAAAAAGCAAGCACTCCTATTAAGCTTAAACTCCTTCCATATGGTCCTTCGTGTAAGTATGTCTCTGCACTCATTGTTGCAATCTCGACGCTCATCAATGGAGGGGTAAAAGAGTTACCTGGGGATGGAATTGGCACGAGACATTGTCAACGGTAATCATCATCTCACCAAATGGAAGATAAAATGTAGATGTCTTCTTATGCTATTGGTCAACAAAAGCAGATAATAATGGAGCGCCAAGCATCGTGAGCGAAAAATCCACCATCGATAACAAACCAATAACATTTACCCATCTCCTAACCTCATCTGCCATTTGCAATGCTACGAATTTCTTTAGCTCCAAACCATGAGTAAGGGCCTTTAATAGAATGCGGTCCTATAACAATTATAGCATGAACAATCAATTACTTTTAGTTAACTGCTAATGCATAAAATCAACTTAAATTAAAATATTCATACCTCTCATTGCAATAATATGAAGGCAACATGATCGACATACTCTATCAGCAATGTAAGGTTGAAAGTCCCTACAGGGAATCCCTCATGTACAGGACCGTCATGATTGTCACCTATATCAGCCTAATTAGTCACATTCGCTTGTACCTCGGGCTCAATATGATCGAGTACAACAACATGTGTTCCCTCATCATCGCATATAGAGCATCCAACTCTACCTCCTCTACGACATATAATACGTGATTTACGAGCCTCTTTGATTATGTATGTTTTTCTATACAAAATTATTTAATTAATTGTGTCTCGTACTACTTTATAAAAGATTTAATTATTATATTAATGGTGTAAAAATATTTTATACTGTCATTTAATAATAATATATAATTATACTATGTTATATAATTAGTTTAAAAAAATTTATATGATTTGACGGAATGCATGATCGTCATTGGTTGACGTATAAAAAAAATTTACGCCTCCTTTTTTTTTTTTCACCATAAAACATTCTAATCACATTTTTAACATTATAAACCAATGCAAATGAGTAATATTACCTACCAAATAATAACAGAAGATTGAAATATATATAATATGAGAAAAAAGACAATTTAAAATTTTTTGAAAAATAAAACAGTAGTTTTTTTTTTTGGCCTTCTTTTTTTCCTTATAAATTAGTACTGAAGGAGTATTGGCAAATGAAATTTGATATTAATAAATTTTTTCAAGAACTCTTTTTAACAACTTTATAAAAAAAAAGGAGTTTATATCAATTCTCCATTCATTCCTGATAAAAAAACATAATCTTAAACTCTCATTTCATACATCAAAAAAATTATTTATTTGACTTTCTTCATCTAAATTCTAGAATTAATTAGCACAAATATTTTATAGAAAGCTCATGCGTGTGAACAAACATTACACATGTGAAATCAAACTCAAATGTCTCTGAAATGGTTTGCAAATTTGCTAAGTTCCTATATCAGGTAAAGAAACAGATATAGGAACTATAGATTTATAATCAATAAAGAAAGAAAATGTGGAAACTGAATTGGCGGTGGATGCAAGCTTAGACTGTTATAGCAATGCAAGAATGTTGTTGTACTGCTCCTGAGTGAAACCAGCTGGAGACTATAATGTGACTTGGAAATTTTGAGAAACGGAGAAATTTCACATTGATTAGGAAAAGTGAAGACTTAACATTTATAAGTAAAATAATTCACACATAGAATGGCAATTTTTGTTAAACTGATGTGTTTATTTCTGTTTTATCAGAGGGTGTTCACCTTTGGCAAAGGTAAGAGTGAAGGCAACAAGGCCATGAAGTCCTTGGTAAGCATTCTTTGTCTTTTTATGTTTAACAAAACAAAGCTATTTGTTTTTTACTATGTTGCACCGACACCTCTGAAGAAAGACGTGTCTGTGTCGGTATCGGACATCTGCACCGACATTTGTGATTACGTTTAATTTATTCATTTCTTAAAATTATTATTGGTGTTGCCGTTTCAGTGTTGGGGTCGTATTCGGGGTGTCCGTGCTTCATAGGTTTTTAATATAAGGAACAACTAAGTTGTTACATTTAGACTGATATTGCATGTGTGATGTGTGTTAATTGTAGTTGGGAGGAAAGGGGGCCAATTTGGCTGAAATGGCAACAATTGGTTTATCTGTGCCTCCTGGACTCACTATATCAACTCAAGCATGTCAAGAATATCAACAAAATCTAAAAAGTTTGCCACATGGTTTGTGGGATGAAATTCTTGAAGGCCTGAATTTTGTTGAAAATGAAATGGGGGCCTTTCTTGGAAATCCTTCAAAACCTCTCCTCCTCTCTGTACGCTCAGGTGCTGCGGTAAGCATTTGTGAGACTGTTTTCAACTTATGATTTAAATTTGATTCCTTGTATGGTGTACTTGACATGTTTATAGCATAAACTTGTTTGTTTCCTCTACATGTATCAGATTTCCATGCCTGGAATGATGGACACAGTTCTTAATCTTGGATTGAACGATGAAGTGGTTGCTGGGTTGGCTGCAAAAAGCGGAGAGCGGTTTGCTTATGATTCTTATAGACGTTTCTTAGATATGTTTGGGGGTGTTGTAAGTAGTTATTTTATATCTTATGCCCCAAATTGATTTTCGTTCGCAAGACTTGTTTATGCAAAAATTATCTTTTAAAGTTTCATTCCAAATACATTCCCTTCATGAACATCATATATCAGTACCTTACTTTGCTTTTGTTGAAACTTTTCTTGTATGTTATATTTAGGTATTGGACATTCCGCACTCATTGTTTGAGGAGAAGTTAGAAAAGCTTAAGTATTCAAAAGGTGTTAAACACGACACTGATCTAACAGCCAATGATCTCAAAGATCTGGTTGAGCAATACAAGAATGTCTACCTTGAAACTAAGGGAGAAAAGTTTCCCTCAGGTACTAAGTTCAACACTATCAATTTCTTCACATTTTGTTGTTATATATTCTTATTGTAATTTATCTTCACATTTGTTTTCATCTTATCTCTTGATTTACCAATTGCAGATCCAAAGAAGCAACTAGAATTAGCTGTTAAAGCTGTTTTCAATTCTTGGGATAGTCCAAGGGCTAATAAGTATAGAAGCATTAATCAGATAACTGGGCTAATGGGCACCGCGGTGAATATTCAATCCATGGTGTTTGGTAATATGGGGAATACTTCAGGAACGGGTGTTTTATTCACTAGAAATCCTAGCACCGGGGAAAAGAAACTTTACGGGGAATTTCTCATTAATGCTCAGGTTATATATAGTCATTTACTAGTTGTTATTTTACATTCATGAATCATGCCATTATCATCTCTATTAGTAGTAAATTACTAACTACTTCTGGTGTTGTTGTTTTTGCAAAATAGGGAGAGGATGTAGTTGCTGGAATCAGGACACCTGAAGATTTAGACACTATGAAAACTTGCATGCCAGATGCTTATAAGGAACTTGTGGAGAATTGTGAAATTCTCGAGAATCATTACAAGGATATGATGGTAAAAGTTCCCCTTGAGATTTGTTTGACTATTTCTGCATTGTTTGTATGTATCGATAGAGTGGCAGGTAATTCTTGTTAAATTGATATTATATTTTAGGACATTGAGTTCACAGTTCAAGAAAATAGGTTGTGGATGTTGCAATGTCGAAGTGGAAAGCGTACCGGTAAAGGTGCAATTAAAATAGCTGTAGATATGGTCAATGAGGGCCTTGTTGATATTCGTTCTTCGATCAAGATGGTAGAACCACAACATCTTGATCAGCTCCTACACCCACAGGTATATACTTGGTTGTAATTAACATAATCCATGCATTGTGTACCTTTAACTTCCTTTTGTAAATAATGTACTCATCGAAACAACTTACAATGTCAATTTACTACTCAAGCATTATATAATACTTGAAAATGTTACCAAAAAATTATTTGAAAGATTATAAAAGACCAGAGATCATCCTTATACAAAGTAAATAGCATCATTTAGCTAAATGGTCTTTATTTTGTTTGATGACTCAATGTTGTTATGTTTAAAAGATATGTACATTTATTTCCATTTATTGTTTTCCATTAACTTTTCATTTTCAAATGTAAGGTGCTCAAGTGTTATTGATTGCTTTATGTTTATTTGTTTAGTTTGAGGATCCATCTAAATACAAGGATAAAGTGGTTGCCACTGGCTTGCCTGCATCGCCTGGAGCTGCAGTTGGGCAGGTCGTCTTCACTACAGATGATGCTGAAGAATGGCATGCACAAGGAAAGAGTGTCATCTTGGTATTCTTTTTTATTATCTATGTCTTCCCCTTCATTATACTGTTAGAGTATTAAGTGTGAGCAAAAAGGAAAATCTTCCCGGTATTTTAGATGAAATGCTTATTTGTACTTGGTGTGGTATGGATGTATAGTTAGGATGTATATAATACTCTAGATTTGGTTTCATGACTAGGTTAAACAAACGATCCTTAGCAATCATTAAATTCTAATACACAATACACACTTGCGTTATTGAAGGTGAGGACAGAGACAAGTCCAGAGGATGTTGGGGGTATGCACTCGGCTGTTGGCATCTTGACAGCTAGAGGTGGTATGACATCTCATGCTGCTGTCGTAGCACGTGGATGGGGAAAATGTTGTGTGTCGGGTTGCTCAGATATTCAAGTAAATGACCATGACAAGGTAACCTCATATTCTATATTGTTGACAAAATAATAAAAATCGTCATATTCAAATGATTCAGTATAATGATTTCCATTTATGATGGTAGGTGGTTGTCATTGGAGATAAGGTAATATCAGAAGGAGAATGGATCTCATTGAATGGATCCACGGGTGAGGTGATATTGGGAAAGCAACCACTTTCTCCTCCGGCTCTAAGTGATGATATGGAAACTTTCATGTCTTGGGCTGATGGAATAAGGAATTTGAAGGTGCTTCTGCATATTCCTTACTAACTGCAGAAGTTGGGTTGAATCTAAACATCTAATTCTTGTTAGTTAATTTCACTTTTGTCAATCTTGACCACCAGGTTTTGGCAAATGCCGACACACCTGAAGATGCAATAACAGCTAGACGAAATGGCGCTCAAGGGATTGGACTCTGCAGGACAGAACACATGGTACGATAATATTCAACTCCTTGTTACAACTAACTGATCCTCTTTATATGCTATGATAAGTTGAGTTCATGGATTATAAAAAACTCTCAACACAAGACACTTGAAATGACCATTGTTTTACCGATTGACACATGGTAGTTATAAATTATGATTCTGTGCATGTTTTGTTGTGTTTTAGTTTTTTGCTTCAGATGAAAGGATAAAGGCCGTAAGGATGATGATAATGGCTATTACTCAAGAACAGAGAAAAGCTGCACTTGATTTGTTGTTACCTTATCAAAGATCAGATTTTGAGGGAATTTTCCGTGCAATGGATGGTCTCCCAGTTACAATCCGATTGTTAGATCCTCCACTTCATGAATTTCTTCCTGAAGGTGACCTCGAACATATTGTCAATGAACTAACTTCTCAGACTGGCATGAAAGAAGAAGAAATATTCTCTAGGATAGAAAAACTCTCCGAAGTTAATCCCATGCTTGGCTTTCGTGGCTGCAGGTTTGTCCTCCTCTTCCTACGATGCTTTTGCATAACAACTAACAACGAATATTTTCCATTCTTCAAAAACACAACAAGTTAGAGTAATTCCTCTTGACAATTTGAAATTATGTGAACAGGCTGGGAATATCGTATCCAGAATTGACAGAGATGCAGGCCCGTGCAGTTTTCCAGGCTGCTGTTTCAGTGAGTAGCCATGGTATCTCAGTTCTTCCCGAGATAATGGTTCCACTTATCGGCACACCTCAGGCATGGTCCTTTTTCTCACTCTAAGTTATTTTTCCAATAGTCCAATTTGTTTCATATCTATCATATATACATAAAATTTGCAAGGAAAATTCAGAATGTTCTACCTTGAAATATTAACTTATTTTTCTTTTCCCTTAACAATATATCTCTTGAAATATAACATGAAGCAAAATTATTTTTTTACTAGAGGCCTAATTATTTTTTTACTAGCAGGAATTAAGACATCAAGTGAGTTTAATAAGGGATGTTGCTGAGAAAGTTTTCTCTGAGATGGGCTCTTCTTTAAGCTATAAGGTTGGAACTATGATTGAAGTTCCAAGAGCTGCACTTGTTGCAGATGAGGTAATATACATACTTTTCTCACTTGAAGATACATACTTGAGTTTTAACATACAATAATAAAATTGTATTATAGAAAGACTATTTTATCCTCGTTACATTTTCTAACTTTATAATCCATTTTGTAGATTGCAAACGAAGCCGATTTTTTTTCATTTGGAACCAATGACCTTACACAAATGACATTTGGCTACAGTAGAGATGATGTTGGAAAATTTCTTCCTATATACCTATCCGCTGGGATTTTGCAGCATGACCCATTTGAGGTTAGTTGCGTTGTTGTCATGTGACCTATGATTTCTCAGAACATTGTTGCCCATTTCTCAGCTCAGAACACAATAGAAAATTTTGCAAAGTTGTGCATAAAGTTAATACATACATGCACACGACACGACCATATCTCTAGTCAGACGTCATGGAATGATTTGGGAGATAAGGATAAGCAGAAGCTGGAAACATGAAAATAAAATTCCATTACTTTTAACGTTATTCTCAATATATTAACCATGGTTGCTAAATTTGAATTATCGACAACAATAACAGGTACTCGACCAAAAAGGTGTAGGTCAACTCATCAAATTGTGTACAGAAAAGGGTCGCGCTGCTAAACCAAACTTAAAGGTAACTTACTAATACAAATTCAAATAACAAAAATTTGTCACACATCTCGGTTATTCTCAATATGTCAATCATGATGTTAACACATCGTTCATCTGTTGATTATCAGATTGGAATATGCGGAGAGCATGGAGGAGAGCCATCATCTGTTGCATTCTTTGCTCAACTTGGACTTGACTATGTCTCATGTTCTCCCTTCAGGTTACGTCTTTGGATCAAAGTTGTATGAAAATGAGATAGGAGTATTTCTATTTTCAGCAGTCATACTAAAAGTTTGAGGACTCTTTTGCAGGGTTCCAATTGCTAGGCTTGCAGCAGCTCAAGTTGCAGTGTAAAGAACAGTTATTAGGCTGTTTCCTGTATAGGGCACAACCCTCTACTTCTTCAAAATGCAAATAATTGTAATTTATTAAACCATATCATATATATAAATAAAATGAAGGCTTATATAAAATCAGATAAAACAAGGATATACTAACATACTTAAAAGAAATTAATCTTAAAGCCTTTGCACATAAAATTTGAAAAAATAGATAGAGAAAACATTGTGTCTGTACATATATATTCAGACAATGTTTCTCTTGTAATTTATTTTACATTACGTTTCTTTTATAATTTGATTGCATACCATGTCTTTTGTGTGTATAAGTCATTGGTGTGGATATATACATAAATGTATATCTCTGATTCTGTAAAATTATTGTACACGTTTTATTGGATGACTAATAATTTCTTTGAAATATTCTTCTAATTATCATCTTTGTTTGAATTAACTGATGAGTGATGATGTTTTGTGGGAATAGGATCATGTATTTTGGGTGATATCATATGACTGTGAGTGAGTAAGAGTCATCTCTTTTATATATCATTATTCATTTTTTATCTGATTCTAACTTAATTTTCAACATGATTCTAACTTTCTAAAAGACAGCATAGTAGAGATTTAGCTGTGTGCATTCATTATTCATGAAATAGTTTAAGAACGCAATTTTTACATAGTGCATGTTTGGATACGAGTTTGAAAAGGCAGACGCACGATTTAATGCATTTCCTACGTAATTTTGAGAAGCTACACAAGATAGTTTTTGGTGAAACGTGAATTTCCAATGTGATTTTGGAAAGGCCGCCGCCAAACCAAACATAGCCATAGTATTACAAGGGACTAAAATTGTTGAAATATGGGAGAGACATTTGAATAAAGTGTATGTTTGAATAACACTACGAAGATTATATTATATAGTGAAATTTACGGTTAAATTAATGACATAGAGAATATGCTACTGTATATTCTATTACATAGAGAATATTTTATATATATAGATATTAACATGATTGATTCTTAACACTCCTCCTTAATCTGTATCATATATGTCATATGAGTCGAGCTTTTTACTTATGTAATCAACTCGAGAACCCTTGAGAGATTTAGTGAACATATCAACCAATTGGTCTTTAGATTTGACAAAATTTGTGGTGATTTCTCGTGAAGGTACCTTGTCTCTTACATAGTGACAATCTATTTCTATGTGTTTGGTCCTTTCATGGAAAATCAGATTATATGCAATGTGGAGTGCCACTTGATTAACGCATATGAGTTTTGTGGACCGAAGATCTCCCAACCTAAGCTCTGAGAGTAAATTTTTAAACCATACAAGATCCTTTGAGGTTGCTTCCATAACACGATATTCACCTTTAACACTAGATAATGCAACTGTATTTTGTTTTTTGTTTCTCCATGAGATCGCATTACCGCCAATAAGATAACAATATCAAGACGTGGATCTTCTATTCGACGGTGATTCGACTCAATCTGCATCTGAATAACAAATGATTTTAGCATCAACCTTATCTTTATATAAAAGTCATCTTCTTGAGGAATTCTTAATATATCTAAGAATTTGAATGACTGCATCCAATGACTATCAGAATGAGTGTTGAGAAACTCGCTCACAATACTCACCACAAATATAATATCCAGTATGGTGACTGTAAGATAGTCGAGTTTACCCACGAATTGTCGATATCTTTCCGGGTCTTTCAATGACTCCCCCTGACCCGAAAGAAGATTGACGTTTGGATCCATAGGAGTATCAATAGGACACCAATCAAGCATACCAAGGGACTAATTTATTATCTCAATAGACATGACCAAGAAAATTCATCATCAAGCCTTACTAGTCTGGATGATGAACTCCATCTCAACTGATATTACAAGGGACTAATTTGTTATCTCAATATACGTAACTAAGAAAACCAATCCTGACTTTGACGATTAGTAAACCCATCGTCAAGCCTTACTAGTCTGAATGATGAACTATGTGTCAACTGATATTACAAGGGACTAGTTTGTTATCTCAATAGACATAACTAAGAAAACCAATTCTGATTTTGAGGATTGCTAAACTCATCATCAAGTCTTACTAGTATGGATGACGAACTCCATGTCAACTGATATTACAAGAGACTAGTTTGTTATCTCAACAGACATAACCAAGAAAACCAATCCTGACTTTGACGATTGGTAAACCTGTCGTCAAGCCTTACTAGTCTGGATGATGAACTTCATGTCAACTAATATTACTAGGGACTAGTTTGTTATCTCAATAGACATAACCAAGAAAACCAATTCTGACTTTGAGGATTAGTAAACCCATCATCAAGCCTTACTAGTCTGGATGACGAATTCCATGTCAAGTGATATTACAAGAGACTAATTTGTTATCTCAACAGACATAATCAAGAAAATCAATTCAGACTTTGACGATTGGTAAGCCCATCATCAAGTCTTACTAGTCTGGATGATGAACTCCATGTCAACTTATATTACAAGGGAATAATTTGTCATCTCAATAGACATAACCCAAAAAACCAATTCTGACTTTGAGGATTAGTAAACCCATCATCAAACCTTACTAGTCTGGATGACAAACTCCATGTCAACTGATATTACAAGGGACTAGTTTGTTATCTCAATAGACATAACCAAAAAAATCAATCTTGACTCTGATGTTTGTTAAATCCATCATCAAGCTTTGCTAGTCTGGATGATAAACTCCATGTCAATTGATATTACAACTTAGTTGTTGCATTTTAAAACTTCTAAGCAACCGTGGAATAAATCTAAGACCATTTCATACGCATGACAATAATAACCTTTCTCCAATTAGAATTTGATAATATACACAAACGAGATGAAAATGAAGTAGTTTTCTAATCAAAATAAAGAACACAGTTGACAAGTTAAAACTTACGAGATCACTCATTTATAACTTTGATTTAGAGGGAGTTTGTTTCAATTTTTTCTAAATGATTTTTTTAATGTTAAATATTTTTGAAAAAAGATTTAAAGGAAATTTTTTGTTTAAATAGTTATTCTTAAATTTTTGTTTTAATTATTTCATCTTTTTGTTATTATTTATTTTGGATATCAAAATTTAAAAAAAAATCACTTAAATTTAAATTTATTTAAAATAGTTTTTCATAAAAAAAATAATTTAAATACATTTTAAAAAAATAATTTTGATTATGTTTTAGGATGTAATCTTTAATAATGTAAATTGATGTTATAGAATGTAAAAATTAGTATTTTAATTCTTAAAAAATTCTAACATTTTAATAAATGTTTTCATAAAAACTATTTTTTAAAATATAAAAAAAAAAAAGTATATCTTTTAAAGGTAAAAAAAATTCAACATAATCATTTAGACATTGATGATATAAACTCAAAATATAACCATATAATGATCAAATTGTCTGACCAAACCATCCTCGGTTGATTTGATTTGTAAGCTTACTTATTATAATTTCAGTTTCATTAGCTTGAATGCTTCAACAAACTTTGTCAGCAAAAAATATCATAAAGGCAACAAATTTGGATAACAAAGTAATTAGAGAGACTCAAACTTTAGAGACATGAGATGTGGCAATTGAAGAGCTTATCAAAACAAAAGTGTCAAGCATGTAGGAAATGTTATTGTCGTTTAGACATGTTGTGAGATATTGGATTGAACTCTAGTATAATCAAAGATAACTTCTTGATTCGACTGATATTTAGCATGCAATTGAAGGTCGTTCAACATGCTGTTGTCGAAGTAGTGTGTGTTGTAGTTGAAGTATGGTCAAACATGCAGTTGCCGGAAATGCTAGATTTGTTAGCATGACGAATTGAGTTTTTTTGTTATGTTCAATTGTTTAAATTAACTAATACCCTAAGTTAGCTTGTAATGGATAATTTTTAGAAGTTCATTAGTTTAGTATGTTAGGTTTTATTATAAATAACATATTAGTCTCTCATCTTAAGTGTGAAAAATCCTAATTAGGGTGAGAGGGTTATTTGTTATTCTTGAGTACTTGTAATCTGATTTAAAGAGAAAGTAAAGAATAACAGTTATAATCAATCCTTATTGTTCTTCTTGTTTTTCCGTTAATCCTAACCCTTGTGTGTTTCTTGCCGATAAAGAAATAATTTATACTTTGTTTCCAAGGCATCAATTCGGTGAGCATGGAGGAAGATGCCGTCAACAAAGTATGAGATTGAAAAGTTCACCAGAGTGAGCGGTTTTGGTCTGCGGCGCTTGAAGATGAAAGCCCTACTAGTTTAGTAGGATTTTTTGGAAGCGTTGAAGGGAGAGGCAGCCATGAACTTTGTGTTAACGGAAACTGAAAAGACGGTCATGATAGAGAAAGCCCACAGTACAATATTGTTGAGCCTTGGCGATAAGGTTTTCCGACAGGTATCAGAGGAGACTACGGCATCGGGGTTATGGTTTAAACTTGAAAGTTTGTACATGACTAAATCTCTGGTGAATCGACTCTACCTGAAGCAAGCTCTGTATTCATTCAAGATGGGTGAAGACAAAGTTTTGGCTGAGCAGTTGGATATGTTCAACAAACTTATTCTTGATCTTGAAAATATTGATGTCGAGATTGATGATGAAGATTAAACGTTGTTGTTGCTGTGTGCGTTGCCCAGATCACATGCTCACTTGAAAGAAACTATCTTGTATGGAAGAGAGTCTCTGACCTTTGAAGAAGTTCAGTCAGCACTGTATTCGAAGGATTTGAATAAACAAAATGAGCACAGGCCATCTTCGACTGGTGAAGGCCTGTCAATCCAGGAGAAATCCACAAAGAGAGATGGCAAGTTTGATAAGAAGAAGGGTGAAAGTCAGCAAAATTCTTATAGTGGTGATGCATCTAGCATTTGATGTTATCACTGTAAGAAGGAGGATCATACAAGAAAAGTGTGTCCTGAACGCCTGAATAGTCATGGTGGAAAGGATAATGGTAATTGAGCCATTGTGCAAGATGACTATGAATAATTTGATGTCCTTGT